ATCACTGAGTAGAAGCAAAAGTTCTTACCAAGAGGGTGAGGAGGGGAGAAGAGCAGTGACTGATTGCAGTGATCCAAGCTGGACCACCCCTGTGGTTCAGGTTGGCACCGAAGCAGTACCAGGTGCTGATATGCTATTCCTCCTCCCTCCCTGGGTTGTTCTGCAGGGAATGTCAAGTAACATTCGCTGATGTTGTTGTTCTTGGCGCTTGATCATCCTTCAGCTATATCCTATTAATAAGGTTATGATTTTGATGAGGCAACTTGGTACATTTTATGGCAGAGGGACTGGAAAAATAAGTCACAGAAAGGTCACTAAGTATTAGTTTTTATTACACCACCACACATAAGGGTAGGAGTGGGTAAAATGTGTCCCGCAGGCCAGATGTGTCCCACCAAGCTGCAGGATCCAGCCCATGACCCAGCAGGAGCCTCAACCAGGCTCCCTGCCTGCCCTGCCCCTGCATGGTGTTCAGAAAAGCCATCTGCAGGGCATGTGCACCTCTGAATGCTGTGAGCCCAGGGGATGAGGGGGAGAGGCTTTGCATGCTGCCCCTGCTCCCCCGCCCCCCAGCACAATTGGCCAGTTCTTCATCAATGAGAGCTACCTGTTTGAAGAACAGGTAGTGTGCGAAGTACATCACCCCCTCTCCTTTCAGGCTTGCAGCCTTCAGAACAGCACACGTGACCCCTGCAGCTGGCTATTCTCGGCAGCCTGTGGCAGCATGAAAGGCAGGGAACCAGCCTGAGAAACTTGCTGGGCTGCTTGCTGGGAGTTGCCCAGGTAAGCATCTCCTGGGCAAAGCCTGCCTCTGGCACTCCAGCCTCTTGGCCCCCTCCCCCCCATCCATATTTCCTTTCAGACCCTGCACTCCAATCCCCTGCCCCTCCTCTGGCACTCCTACCCTAAGTAACCCAAACCCTCTGCACAGCCTTTCAGACCCTGCACTCCAATCCCCTGCCCCTCCTCTGGCACTCCTACCCTAAGTAACCCAAACCCTCTGCACAGCAGTCCCCTGCCCCAGATCACAATCCCCTCTTTCACTCACACTCCCTCCGAGATCTCACACCCCCTCCTGTATTCCAATTCCTTACCCTGACCTCCATCCCAGACCCCGCACCTCCTCAGTTAATATCATGGAAGAGTGCAGCCCTGAATCATTTACCAAATTCTTATAGTGGTCCCTCCATCAAAATTCTTGCTCACTCCCTCACAAGAGTATAGTGTAGGTGCTGAGAGGTATGGACTTGAGAGGCGGGAGTGTGAGCTCACCATGCAGCAACAGCTCCTGTGCTGCAGGGTGGGGCTGTTCCGTACTTGTCTAGATGTTGCAAACTGGCACATGTGGTCACAACACTGCTAGGGTTTGGCTTATCCACCCCTTTGTAGATGGAGACAAAGCCCCTCAGGCAGCAGGTCACAATGCCACTATATAAATTATACTGACACTTCAAAACCCTATATTTAGGTGCTGTGTGTGTGGGTGTTTTTTGTTTTTAATTTAAGGATGTGTTTTTCAAATCTGGGCGACGAAATATCTGATTAGTGATTTGCTTTTTTTTCCAGAAACTTCTAGGATATATTAAAGGCAAGGAAAATAGAACTCTGCCTTGAATCTCCTAAGAATTGAATACCAATGGGGATTTTAATTTTGTATGGTTGGTCCTAGAATAATTTTTTTCTCTCCTCCTTTTTTTAGGTACTTGAAAGCTGTTATGACCCCTTTCAGTCTTCTCTTTTCCATACAAGACAAACCCAGCTCTTTCAATTTTTTTTCTCATGATCATATTTTCTAGACATTTGATCATTTTTGTTTTCTTCTCTGGATCTTCTCCAGTTTGTCCACATATTTCCTGAAATGTGGCGCCCACAACTGAGTGCACTACTCCAGTTAAGGCCTAATTAGTGCAGAGTAGAGCAGAAGAATCACTTCCTGTATCCTGCTTATAACATTCCTGTTAATATCCCAGAATAATATTTGGTTTTTTTGCAAGTGTCACACTGTTATCTCATATTTAGCTTGTGGTCCACTATGAGCCCTAGATTTTCTTCAGTACTCCTTCTTGGATAGTCATTTCCCCTTTTGTATGTGTGCAACTGGTTATTCCGACAGATCTGTAATTCAAAATCATCTGGACAAATTGGAGAAATGATCTGAGGTAAACAGGATGAAATTCAGTAAGGACAAATGCAAAGTACTCTACTTAGGCTGTGTCTAGACTACATGCCTCTGTCGGTAGAGGCATGTAGATTAGACAGATCAGCAAAGGCAAATGAAGCCGCGATTTAAATGATCGCGGCTTCATTTACATTTACATGGCTGCCGCGCTGAGCCGACAAACAGCTGATCAGCTGTTTGTCAGCTCGCACGCTAGTCTGGACATTCCCCCTGTCGACATCAAAGCCCTTTGTCAGCAGCCCCTTTATTCCTCGTGGAATGAGGTTTACCGGGGCTGCCGACAAAGGGCTTTGATGTCGACAGGGGGAATGTCCAGACTAGCGTGCGAGCTGACAAACAGCTGATCAGCTGTTTGTCGGCTCAGCGCGGCAGCCATGTAAATGTAAATGAAGCCGCGATCATTTAAATCGCGGCTTCATTTGCCTTTGCTGATCTGTCTAATCTACATGCCTCTACCGACAGAGGCATGTAGTCTAGACACAGCCTAAGTAGAGTACTTTGCATTTGTCCTTACTGAATTTCATCCTGTTTACCTCAGATCATTTCTCCAATTTGTCCAGATGATTTTGAATTACAGATCTGTCCTCCAAACCACTTGCAACCTCTTCCAGCTTATCATCTGCTGCAAACTTTAAGTGTACTCTCTATGCCATAATCTAAATCACTGATGAAAATATTGAATAGAACAAGACCCAGAACTGATCTCTGCGGAACCCTACTTGTTATGCCCTTCCAGCATGACTGTGAATCACTGATAGCTACTGTCTGGGAACAATACTCCAAACAGTTATGCACCTATCTTTATAGCAGTTTCATCTTGCATGACAAGACTGTATCAGATCCCTTACTAAACTCTAGATATACCAGGAGTACCACTTCCTCCTTCTCCACAAGGCTTGTTACCCTCTCAAAGAAAGTTATCAGGTTGGTTTGACATGATTTGTCCTTGACAAATCCATGCTAGGCTCCGGTCATCTGAAGAAGTGGCTGCGCCCATGAAAACTCATGATACCATCTACATGTTTTGTTAGTCTTTAAAGTGCTACCAGACTATTTATTTGTTTGTTTACCATGCTGACTGTTACTTATCACCTTATTATCTTTAGATGTTTGCAAATGGATCCGTTAATTATTTGCTCCTTTATCTTTTCTTGTAGAGAAGTTAAGCTGACTGGTCTGTAATTTCCTGGGTTGTCCTTATTTCCCTTTTTATAGATGGGCACTATATTTGTCCTTTTTGTATCTTCTGGAATCTCTTTCATTTTTTGTGACTTTTCAGAGATGGTTCTGATAGCTCCTCGGTCAGCTCTTTAAGTATTCTAGGATGCTTTTCATTAGATGACTTGAAGACATATAATGTGCCTAAGTAACTTTTTAACTTGTTCTTTCCCTCTAGTAGGGAAATCTACCCTATTTTCATTTAAAAAAATGAGTAGTCCTGTAGCACCTTAGAGACTAACAAATACAAACATTTGTGAGCAACTATGTTAGGTCAAATCACCACCAACCTTCTTAGTGAAAACTGAAACAAAGAAGCCATTAAGCACCTCTGCCATTTCCACATTATCTATTATTCCCCCCCCCCTTCAAGTACGGGGCCTACCTTGTCCATTGGACTGTGGTCTTCCTCTTGCTTCTAACATATATTTAGAATGTTTTCTTGTTACCATTTATGTTCCAAGCCGTTTGTAGTTTATAGGGGTTATTTTTATTTGAATTTTTGTTACGTTTTTGGTGTAGGTTTTGTTACGGAAAGGTAAACATGGTAAAATGAATACAAGAGAACATAATACATTAACTAGATTTACCTGTACTGAGGTGCTGGGATTTGCAAAGGAGGCTTATAGTGTTCCAGCTCCCTGACAGAATACATATTTTAATCTATTTTTAAAAATATTAGATGAATGCTCTGATTTGTGTAGTTCAAAGAAGCTGTGCTTTGTAAATATGCTATTAAAAGTAAATGTATTGAAAATCCTTCATTAACTTAAATTTTAGAATTCTCACTGGTTTCATATTTTTGTTTAGGTTTTCTTTCTTATTGTCATCTTAACACAAAATAAAATGTGTATGTGAACATGATGTTGAATTGTACACACTTTCTCCTCCTCCCTGCTATTTGTTTCTGCCATCTCAGCAAATGTGCCCAAATTTTGAACCACTTTTTGTATTCTTGCTCTAGATCTTAATTATCTGCCACTGCCAGTCACACCAATTTCTTCAAAAGCTTTTGTGTTGTGGATAAAAATCCACTATAGATTAGAGTGAAATTCTCTCACTCATATTTTATTTCTGATGTTGATAAGCACTTGTTTATTCCAGAGCTAGAATGCAATTACATGAACACACTGTAGCACCTTTCTGTCATGCTCTAGTTTACTGAAAATATTTTTTTGATTATGATCTTTGATGGTAATTGGTACAAAAGTATCTGAAGTTTGACTTTTTATTTGTATTTGAAGGTGGGTATGTTTATAGCAATAAATGGTTTGAGCATAGTGTTGTTGTTGATTCTAATAGTTACACCATTTCATCTGAAGAAGTGGGTTGTGCCCATGAAAGCTCATGATACCATCTATATTTTTCTTAGTATATAAGGTACTGCAGGACTATTCGCTGTTTTTCAAGTTTTTTCATTAATATGGTAGTTAAAGTAGGAAAGAACAAACATTTTAAAAATATTTATGCAGTGCTCCTAGAATTTGGGAAAAATGTCCACTCTAATATTATGATTAGCACACACACAGCAATTTGGATTACACATGATAAAACCTAAAAAGGTGAAATTAAATTTAACAGTATTTCTGTGTTCTCAAATTAGTTTCCAGGAAACAGACAATTCTTGGCATGGTGGATGTCTGGCTCTCGCTGAATTAGGCAGAAGAGGATTGTTACTCCCTTCCCGTATCGTAGACGGTAAGGTTTTTTTTCAATCTCAGTTAAGTCTACACAGTAATACTATATAATAGCATAGTAGTTGTGTATTTGGCAACAGACTTGTATGCGCTGACATAAGTTGGGCTATTAATGGCCATAGCAACATATCTATTAAAAACATTTAAGACATCTTTGTTAATAGAACTCATAGTCTTCGGTGTGTCTTTAAAACCAAATAAATAAATTTACTCTTCAAAATAATTACTAGGATTTATTAATGTGAGCACATATAATAGTTTGATATACTATATATTTGTTAATGTATTTATTCTACTTTTTAATTTTTTGTTAAGTAGTTGATCATTAACTTGCATATTTATGATCGTTTGCATTGATCTGTACTACTCCATCAGAACTGAAAAACCTGGTGTAAATAAGAATTTTAGTAATTTGTTACTCGTTTGTTTACTTCTGTTAGTAACACTGACATTTCTACAAAATAACCAATGTCTTTGCATGCATTTTATACGCAGTAATGCTTGCAAGAATTTCTTGGTTACCATGGGAGAGGGTCGAGTGCAAGAGTCCATGTGTTTGCAATGTAATACCACAAGGTTATTAGATTATAAGCACTTTGAAAGAAAGATCTTCTTTTTGTTTTGCTGTATGTATTTTAACTACTAAAAAGTGCCACATTCTTATAAACGACCAAGTGTTGTTGTAAAAAACTTTGTCAGTTTATATTTAGGAAAATGTAAAATATAAACTGAAACAAACAGCTCCCCCAGAACAAAACAGCTTTGACCAACAAATGAGCAAACAAATATAATCAAGTAAGTCCCTTAATTTAAGATGATCAGATGATGTTGAAGAAGGTAAGGGCTGGATAGAAAAGCTTGTCTAGTTTTCTATGTTAACCAATTTTTGTGCACTTGCCTAAATTCTGAGGCACCAGATTTTGGTTTTAGATGCCTAGAGTAGGGGACTGACTTGAGATTGTCCTGCCTCACTACTCAAGTAATTTGCTTGGTAGTTGAAATAATTGAGACTGAGTGGATAAAGTTTTAATTTTCAAAGCCTTACAGAATATATTTGCAGAAAAGCTCCATTAGCTTCATGGCCTCAAAGTTTGTCCTATTTTGAAAAAATCTATTGATTCTGTATGTTCTCTTTATTTCAGTACTGTTCCTCTTCATTGTCTATCGTCATGAAATGACAAATGCCAAACTTGTATTTCAGGAATACAAGAAGCCTTTTGCCATTGCCTAAAATAATTCACTTATCATAAAATGGTGGAGCCTCCTTTTTATTTCTGAATAATTTTAGAGATTTTTTTTTTTGTTACACAGGAAATCTTAATACTGTGCAAATATCTTTCTGTTGATACCACTATCTAATTACTTTGGTCCCAATCCTGCAAATGTATATTTTATGGGCAATACTAAGTACATGAATAGTCTCACTGAACTCAAAAAGTTGCCTGATAATGCAATATTTTCCAATAATAATATGGAGACTGTCAATTGTAAATTAAGGGGTTCTAGGAAGTGTGGAATCAAATGTGGTTGGTTGGAATCCTGGTGCTGCCAGTGATTTGCTATATTCCATTGAGCCTCATCCCTTTGTCTCTTAGCCTCAGCTTTCAGTTTGTATGACATAGGGATAGAAGTTATACCTCCCCTGCCTTCCTCACCTAGATGTTAATGGTACGAATATCCAAATTTTATCTATGGATGGGCTGGGTGTTCTATATTAATCCCTGGGTTTTAGGGTGACAAAGCAATCTTTAAAGCTGAAAGAAATGTTCTCAATCTCTAGGTAGATACAGATTAGAAAAAAAATATTCTGGGACACTGCTGCTGCTTGATCATATAACAGGAATCTGTGGTGCAGTCCTTCCCTGTGGATTGCAAATGTAAGTTGCAAATAGAGGCTATATAGACTCAGTTAAAGATGTCCTTTTCATATCTTCCGTTTGCTTATCCTAACTAATCAGTGTCACAATCTCAATCTTATCTGGATTAAGCTTCAGGCAGTTCATTCTCCTTGGTGCACAACTTTCCCCCATATTGAGCCAGGAACTCAACAGCACTGGGTGTTTATCAAAATACTGAAAATAACTGATCCCCTATCTCTGCAGTAATCCTTTAAGCAGCTTCATATATGCACACTGCACAGGCAAGACAAACAAGGGAGCTACATGCAGTTCACCTTAGGAGGAAGAAGCAGCTGCTCCTTCCCACCTTCTGTGAATACTCATTGGATAAAAAAAGGGAATTGCCCAAGAGTATCATATCCACTCCTGCTGCGATCTGTGTGTGCGGGCATACTTCTGAACCAACTCCTGGGTGATCAGACTAAATGTATGTCTGTAGGAGCACTTGCTGCATATATATTGTTTCAGAGTGCTGTGCAGTAACCCTGCATATGGACCATTCTGCCATATAAAAAGTTCACTAGTGCGTATTGACTACTGTGGTTTCAAACAATAGGATGCAAAGCACATTAAGAGCTGATTGAAAATTTTGCCATGAAAAATCACTACATGCTTCATTTGTATAAGGCTGAAGCATTTCATTTAGACTTTTGTTTTGATGTACTGTCGATGAAACACTTAGATCTTGTCAAAAAAGTTCTCTGGGAAATTTCAAAATGTTGACTTTTTTTCTGATTTGGGATGAAGGAATACTTCAAATATCTGAATTTACCTTGGACTGGAAATCGAGTTTCAACCAGCACTAATCAAGAGTAACCTCTCCTTTTTTAAGGGCCCAGAGCAAACTGTTCTAAGAAGCAGCATAACTTATCTAAACCATTTCCTGATGTGGCATTCAGCAAGTTTATACCAATAATTGAATTGCCCATTATTGCTGTTCTACTAGGTTGTTTTTGCCTCCTTAGTTTCTTTCTCAATATTCTGCAGTCACCATCACTTACATATACAGAGATTAGTGATGTGCATAAAATGTTTCTGGTCTTCATCCCCAGTGTTTTATGCTACACCAAGCTTCCTTTAAAGAAGACTCCTTATGGAGACTGAAGATGAGGCACTGTGGGCAGTGGGTGGGCGGGTGGGAATTGAAGTTGTAGAAAAATTTGAGAAAATAAAGTGAGACACTGAGTTGGAGGGCATTTCATACAAGAGCTTTAATGGTCTCAAGAGCAAAGTACTTGGTCTATTAACAAGAAACATTTCCCTTATTAGAAGAGATCATTTTCAGAAAGACAAGTCAATAGTGTACCCATTTATTGTTAGGAAAAGTGCTGAGGGTGATTTGTGGAATTGTGGGTTAGTAAACCTGACTTTAAAGAACAGAAAAAAATGAGAGAAGTTTTTAGCTAGCTAATTATAAAACACCTGTCTGAATATACTGCAGTGGGAAAAATAGCATTTAACCTCTAAGTATGAAACATGCTTCTTTTAACTCTGTTATAATACTGTCGAAAATTAAAACAAGTGAGGAGAACTGGTGTGTGTAGTTAATATAAAGGTTAAATGACCTTTGATGAAGTTCCTCATGGAGGACCATTAAACAAAATGAGTAATAGGCTGTAAGACCTGCAATGGAATTTTTTTTGAAAGGCTTTGGATAAGATATATAAAGCAGCTCAGCTCCTGAGAAGGGCAGTGGGAATTTTGTAGGCATGATGCTAAGAGAACATGTGGAAAAGAGGCATGTTCTTATAAACTAGGAATATGAAGTTTGGCTAAGAAAATATATACAAGAGTCAGTAACAAATTTGCTGGAGGAGATCAGCCATATGCTCGTGTCTGTCCTTTCCAATAGGTGAACATATGAAGAAATCTGCAAGCAAGCAAGCTTTGCATATTCAAGGAAATGGATACAAGGAATCTTAAGAAGTATCTCTGGGTATATCTATAGAGCAATGTAAGCTGAGGGTTAGTGGGACTTGAATCACTGGCCTGAGGGGAAGGCTGGGCTTTACATTTTAACCCTAGGTCTAGGGCTCTAGTGTTCACAGTGCAGTGCTCAGACCTGAGTCAAAGTAATCCTATCCTAGGTTGCCTAGTGGCCCTCCCCCTCCCTCGGTGTCAACACTCTTGTACCATGAATGTGTTGCACTGTGGGAAAACACTACTGCTATTGCTGGGATTCAGGTCCCCATAAGGAGCACCTGAGTACATAAACTGCATAATTAGTTCCTTTTGATGGCTCTCTCAGGATGCTTGAAATTCGACTACCATGTAATCTGACAATTAAACTGAGTAACATTTTCAGAAAAATACCCACTTGCCCTTGTTCCGAGGGTAATTAGAACATCAGTCTCCAGAGCTGTCAAAGTATTACATTGAAACTTTGCAATTCTTAATTTTTGAATTAGGATGTTTGTGTTTGGTTCGTTTATTTATTTTTATCTATTTGTTTTGAAGTTTGACAGTATAGGTTTCAGAGTATACACACTCCCTCCTCCTCCTCCTCATCCTTTGCCCAACTGCTACTGACTTCAGAGCAGTGAAGTGCATGCTCATAACTTGGGGTATAGTGTTCTCCAACCCTCACTAAAGCTCCCTTATCTCTGCCCCTGCTGTCCCCTGGCATACAGGGATTATTGGGTAGCAGGGCTCCCATTTTAGCACACTTGGGGGCAGGATAACCCCCCTCCAACATCCTGATAGCCAGAAGCTGTCTCCTGCCTGTCAGCTTTATGCCCTGCTCTGAGCATGGAGGAGACTGAGCCAGAGCCACAGCCATGAGAGGCTGTGGGGAAGTTTTGGGGCTGGCTTCAGCCTTCTGCCCTGACAGTGCATGCACATGCAGCTACAGGGAGAGTAGGAGGGGCCTGTGAGCAAGAACCAGGAAGTGGAGTAGGGACCAAGTAGCTCATCTGCAGGGAGAGGAAATGGCAGGGCTCTCAGCTCAGCATGCCTGTGAGAGGGATGACCTCTAATATTCCAGCAACCGAGAGCCACCTCCCTGTCAGCTTTGCTCCCTGCTCCAGGCAAGCTCTATGCAGCAGCAAGGGGGAA